TTTTTGTGTTCGGTCCAGGATCCTAAAAGGCATTTGCCGACCGCACTTAATTTTAGGCTAGCAGACATTTCACGGAACGAGCAAGTAATTGTCTAACAAGACTAGATTTAATTGCGTAAATGTACCTGTTTTTAAGGGGGCATTAAGACTAATTTTGAACATTAATTGCTGTTAATTGCTTAGTTTCAAACAAAACCAAGGTTGCCATTTGAATGGTATCACCAGGTTTTTTGTTCATACAGTTAATTATTTAACATGCTCACAAATACCCTCTCCTACCCTACCTCCAGCCATGGATTTGCGTTCCCCCTCACTGAAAGCACAATTAAATTAAATGAAAACATAGCAGTGTACATTTTTCCACTCCAGCTGCCAGGGTTATAGCATAGATCCATGCGACTGTCGTCAAGGAGGTCCCCAGTGCGCTAATTAGTGGCCAAGCTGGGAGTGGCTCGTTGCAGCTTAGCATTCCCCCCCCAGTCTGCGTCTCCCCTGCATTTCCCCTGGCGCCTCCCTCAAAGACCTCCAGGGCCGCAGCATCGGTGGTCCACTCTAGTCAGCTGAAACAGGGGTCCTGAAGGTGGAAAAACTCACAGACCCACCTCTGACTGGCTACACTGGGGTCGCCTGCCGCAGATGCCTCTGTGAATCTCTGATGAGTGGTGTTGCATGGCTCTGGGTGAGACCCATTGAGCAGGACGCGTTGGGTCTCTAATTGCTACTGAACACACTTTCATGTTTTTATAGCGAGGAGTGTCCTGCCGTGGGCCTTCTGACTGCTCTGTCTCCAGGCAACGGCCTCACTCATCATGGTCCCCCGAAATCAAATCAGTCCTTCTTCTGGCATTGCGGGTGGTATAGGTTATGGCGAGGGCAGCAGCAAAATCGAGAAAAAAATATCCCAGTCAAATGCTTCAAAAGGATGCCAATCGATTTCCAAAGAAAAGACTAGTTTTTATCTTCCGTCTCGTCCACGTCGCCATCCTCTGGGTTTACTTACAGCTGTGAATACCGTCGGGATCGCTGCCAAGAAGAAAAATATTATATTCACTCCCTAAGGCATTGTTGCATTGCAGCAATTACTTTGATTGCTTTAGAAAATATGCTGCATTCGTACCTTATTGTATGTGTTCTTATAAGTAGATTATAGTATGCTTAATTGCCAATATATGGTTTTGAAATCCATTTATGCTGCTGAGATGGCTGTAAAGCAGCAAGAACGTTCAAAGACGTCTGAGGTATAGACCTCACCACCAGCTCTGATTTTGTGTCCTTATCACCACATTGACTCTCCCAATGGGTCTTTACTCATAACTGGGTTTTTACTTTCACTTTTAAGTGTCCTGCAGGTTATGAAAGTTCTACAGATGGGGTAGGCCTCAGCCGCTCTTTGATAAATTGGTGTTCGTAGCTCTTCATTTACAGAGACAGCTTACATTTCTTGTACCTAGAGATCTTCTTTCAAGAACTAGGATTAGCAATCTCCATACAATGACTTTGACAAGAAAGAGTTTGCTGGAACATCAGGTCAAGGGTCAGGCCTGGAAAGTGCTTGTGGGCTTTTCTATAGGGAGAAGGTGATGGCCGCCTGACAAGCCCATGAGGGGAGGAGTCTGCCAGTAACCCACATATGCTGTGTCCCTGGATCTGTATCTGACATGGTGCTTGACACGAGGAAGATGAGTGGCATTGATGAGGAAGGGGCACTGGCTTTTCCTGTCAAAATGAAGGCCCTTCTCACCTTCTATGAAACAGAAAATGTCTTCTGGCAGCCGGTTAACTGCATCAAAGGGATGGCGTTTGGATAGCCATAGGATTGACACAGTCAGTGTCCATGTAGACTATCAAAGAAAAGAGTTGATGCTTCTCCCAGTCTTCAGTAGCGACACTTGTCATATATCCTTAGCCTTCCATGTTAAGCCATCTTATGAGTTGCTTGAATAAATTTATGATTATTCTGCCTTGGATGTTGGATTCTGTTCATATTTTCTGCCTCATAATCCTACCATCACTGTCTTCTACCTTCCGGGGGAATTGTAGCTCTCGGTGGCACCAATGTCCTTGAAACTTTCACAGACCAACAACCGACAGTGGTTGGGACTGCAAACGACTATCTTGAACCCTTTGGGGCTGCTTGATTAGCACTAGCCTCTGAAAAGCCACTGTTCATTTAGCTAAGCCGCCTTGGCACAGCAGCTAATAACGGCTGTGAATCACTCATAAAGACTGTCGTACCAACAGCAGTTCTCCTGCAGGGCCATTTGCCAGAGATGGCTCTCTCTCTCTCTCCTCTAATCCTCTTCGGCTTCGCCGCCGCCGCGCAGCAGCATTTACAAAACCGTCGGTCTAATTACCATGGAGAAGTTACCAATCGTCAAAGCAGCTTGTTTGGAATGGGTACAGCGGGTGGGCAGGGCACAAGTGGCTTGATCTGAGTTTCTGAGCAGCACGCAGACAGATTCTCTGCTGCAAAGAACCTTTGTGTCACCACAGCCGCCTAACTCTGTTAGTTTGAAGTGAGAGGCCCAGGGGCTGAAGGTGATCGGTGACCTCCCGAACATTGTCTTCACCGTCAAACATGCAAATAGTCATGTGACTTTTGGTCAGGAACCACTGAACTGCTGTGGCTTGGGCAGTAGGTTGAGAACAACTCCGGGGTCTGGAATAATTATATAGAGTCACATTAGATACCGTATTTGTGGCTCCCCAACTGAATTTTACTGTTTATCTGGGCTACATTTTTCACTATTGCACCATATTCTTTGTTTTGGAGGGAACAAGGGTTTTCAAGCTTTCTGAATCCAGGGACCCCAAATTAAACCAGCCCAGACCTGGGCCCCCCTACCACTAATGCTTGATTGTGTAAGTGAAAAAAAGAACTAAGGAACGTAGCAGGGTTGAGGGTGGAGGGTCTGCCTTAAAAAATCTGATATATGATATTTTTCATATTACATAAACCAGATGATTATGCCGACATTTCGACAATTTACAATACATTGTGGACCCCCTGCAAATGTTCTACAGACCCTCAAATACACCGCGGGGTAAAAAGCCCCTGTACACACATACGTATCCTGGCATGCATAATATATACCTGTTTACGGTATCTTTTCCAGTCCCTAACACATTAATTTACCACTCTGTTATTATTAGTAAATGTCCTTTTTGTGCTTTAGCATGCAGTCAGAGGTGAAATATATTTGCATGTTGTGTAACTGTTTCCATTATGTTTTCCGTCAATATTTTTGTGATTGTTGGAGGGAACAGCACGGCGAAGTGAAAACCATCAGTCTCTCGGTTGCCACTGCTCTGGCCCCGGTCCCCCTCGTCGCCCCCGCTACGTGATAGCCTGTGAAATGGGCAGGCTAGGTGGTAGTTAATGGCCTGTAAAGAGTATGGGCTAATGTGTCTGATCATGTTAGAGACAATATCGGCGTCCTGGGTGCTTTACACCCACCATGAGCAGGATGCAGGTGGGCGGGGGAGTATGGGGGGGGGGGTCAGTGCTCATCGATTTAATGTTTTCTCATACTCAAATGGGCTGTCGACACATGACATAAATACATTCAGACGTGCATATCTGTTTTGAGGGAATCAAAAATACAGCTGGGTTTATAATACTGTAGAAAGGGGGCCTGCCGTCGATCATGCCAGTTCAAAGGCTTTGTGAGAGAGCTTGAAGAGGCTCTCTCTACAAACTGAGGTCACCAAGTCCCTTACTAGTGGCTTTGAAGGTTCCGCAAACCGAAGGGTTAATCCAAGAATGGGCCAAGAACGATTTACTTCATATCAAAAGTGATTCGAAATATTTACAGTTTCATTAGTAGAATGAGGATCCATCCACTTGGGTCAAATAAGTGTCCTAATGAAATAGGTTACAGGCTCATTCCAAGTATGCAGTCTGAATATAATTAAGTATATATTCGAAATATAGAGCTGGACCAACTGAATCACGCAGTGTATTTATGGAGGTGGATTTACACTAGAGAACCTTGAGGAGCATTACCGCAAGGTCGTGTACTCCAACTCCAGGATGCAAACTCAAGTAGACACCAGTCTACTGAATTTTACGTGCTTTTAGAATTATTACCTGACCTCATCAGTAAATGCCATATCTCGGCTGAATGCAAATGAGGCCTTAATTAATCCTAAAGCAGGGGCAAGTCTTTGTGGATCATTTCAGAGCCGCTCATGCTAACATTTCTATTTGGTGTACAAGAACTTTGGAGAGCTAAAGAGTTCCATAGAGCTAGCACCAGTGCTGGCCTGGTTAGGCCTCTAGGTCTTGGTGCTCTTCTATCTCTTTTCATCCTCGTGATTAATAGAAAGCAGGCCTTGATATACTCCTTGGCACAGCACTGCTCGCTGGACCGTTGGCACAGAATGGTGGGCTAATGTACCCAATGATACCGACACTCTTGAGACATAGTCAAGAAGCCCTTTCGGGTTCTGCTGTTCTGCCGGAGCGAGTGTAGATATGAGTTTGTAGCACCTGGCTGAGAAGCCAGCTAGTCTGTTTTAGCTCATATGATTACGGCATCATCATGAGAGAGACATTACCACAGATGTGGCTTTTCAGACAGGGCCTCTTTTCCTCTCGTAATTTAATGACCAGACAGGAAGGAGGTCATCTCCACACTCATAGTTTGCTTACATAACTGCAGTGGAAAAGCTAATATCTGCTCTTCAACAGGTAGGGGACCTTCCAGATTCCCAGTCTGTGTTTCAGGGATGGTACATAAAGGTGTTTTATAAGGGTGATTCATATTGATTTTGTATCCTTTTGTTTCATGATAAAGCCTCGTCTTTTAATGTCTCCCCCATTATTTGACAAGAGGCGTATATGGCATATTGATCCACAGAGGATATGTGCAGTCCATTGATGATATTTAATTTAACGTTCAATCATCGCCAACACAGTCAGTCTTATTTAATGTTGCCATGCTGTGCACCTGGGCCATGGTCTGATTGTCTGTGTTGTAATTATTCTCTTTTGACAGGGCGACTTTCTTGTAGCTGACATCTACAATGTACTTCTGAAGCTCGGACAAGGACTCCTTCTTGGTCACCACCCCCCTCCAGTAACCCTCTCCCTCCGTCCAACATGGTGCCAGTTCCAAAGATGCAGCCATTTCTTGCCATAGTATTTACCCTTACTTCCTGCATCCTGTCCGTCTCCTCCACGGCCACGCCTTTCCCCAAAGATCTGGAGCCAATCAACATTGTCGGCCAGCAGCGTGAGTATAATTCTGTTGCTGATTGGTGCATCCGCAAGTGATGACACCACCCCCTTTATTCATGCAGAAGTTGATAGTCGCTCTCTAAGTGAAAATCCAGCCTCTACTATGACCTCTGGTGAGTTGGCCATGTTCACAGTGTGACAGAGGGTGTAATTAAACAGAAGCAGCCCTAGAATCAGAGGTGTGACTAACACTGTCTCTGATATCCATCAGTGACACATCAGCGGTGCTCCCAAATATTGGTAATGTGTGGCAATGCGTAGGGTCATCCCTGGAAATGATATATTGATTTGTATTCATTAGGCAAACTAGGCCAGCCTGTGTTTGCTCACCAGCGGGCAAAACTTTTAAGCAAGGAAAAGCTGTGAGACATAATTAAACTGCAATCAAGGTGGGACACAAGGCCGGCCCCTCTCATGTGACCTGCATTAGTCTGTTCTAATTGTGCTTTGGATAGAGAGAGAGAGAGAGAGAGAGAGAAGGACCGACTCCTACAGACTGCAATTTGTGTGGATGGTGAACCGCTGATCTCACTGCCTCCAGTCAGAGGGGGCAACCTTGAGTGCCTTAATGCAATGGTGCCTGGTCATAGGTCGCTGCCCCCCCCCCCCCCCCCATTGCATTGGCCGTTTCCCATGACAACCTGAGTAAAATGTGCTTGCTGTATTATTAGCCTGATAAAATCCATGCTACGGTATTTTTAACAGACTAGATTTATGAATTACCCTCTATTTAAAACCAATCTGGCTCCTTCCGTACCCCTGCATTAATTACACCAGTTTGCTATTTTGATCGTTAAATGTTTCATGTATCTTCGGATATCCTGCATCAATGCTTCCCAACCCGGTCCTCAGGAACCCTCAGATGGCCCAAGTTTTTGCTCTGCCCCAGCTTCATGGTAGAGCGGGGGGGGGCAGTCTTATCCGCAAAAGGGCCGGTGTGTATGCGGGTTTTCGCTGCAACTCCCTAATTAGATTACTAATTAGAGGATTGATTGGCTGAAGAGTCCTCACACCTGTGTTTGAACAGCTGACCTACAGGTTATCCCAAAAACCTGCATACACACCGGCCCTTTTCAGATAAGATTGGCCACCCCTGTGCTAGATGGTCCACAGTTTTGCTTGGGAGCTGGGAGGGAGCAAAAATGTGAACCGTCTAAGGGTCCCCAAGGACCGGGTTAGAAAACACTAGATTAGGATATTGGCAAGAAGCTGGTGGTTGAACCGAAAGCGATCCCTGATGAAAGTGGAGGGGTAGAGGGCCTGGGGAGTTTGGGGGGAGTGCACTGCTTTGGATTAGCAGCATTTGGCTGTGATCAGGTGGAAAGATCAAATGGCTGAGCCGAAGCGCAGGGCAGACAATGAGCATTTCACTGCTGCTTTTTCCTCAGTGAAGGTGCCTCGCATTCAGCTCCATCCGTACTAGACGAAATGTCTTTGTGTTACGTGCTATTAATCAGCTCATCATTTAATTCCTTAATCAGACACTAATCATTTAATCCTTTAATCATTTAATTGGACTTATTTTACGAAGAGAGGTCAGTACTTTTGTTTCTATGTTCTTAAGTTCTTTATCAGATTTTAGCCGCACCTTCTGGTTGCTATTATCTTACCCCCCACCCCCCCCATCCCCGTCCCTGTCCCCGTCCCCGTCGCCCTCCCCCCGTCCATTGGAGCAGTACTTAAGCCTTTTCTGTCTCACTTTATTTTCTGCAGCAAAAAAATCACAGTTTAAATACTGGGATCCACTTACATTATTATAAACCTTTTATAAATGCACCTTTTATAAATGCACCTGGGCCGAATGGCCTCCTCTCGTTTGTAAATTTCTTATGTTCTTATGTTCTAACACTTTGAAACGCCAGGCCTGCAGTCCTCAGGAAGTACATGACTTGAATGTGAATCCTGCCAAAGGTGCCTTGGAGTGGTTGGCCTGACTTTACAAGCAAATGGCACGGGGCAGCCATAAGGAAAGTCAGCTCTGATCAGCCTGTCATATAGAATTCATTTTAATGCAGCCACAGACTGACATTCCAGGTACTCAATCAGAAAAATGCCAACAGAGGTCTGTGAACGTGTCTCCCCGAAATATCTCCCTCGGTTATGCATGCGGTAAACCTTGGTTGCCTTAATGCGCGGATGGTGTGATTAAAATGGTGTCCCGCCTCACCTACAGAATCCCAGCTGCACCCAGGGTTTCAAGGGCTGACGTCCGACAACGACACAGCACGCTTAGGCCTGGACTTCCAGAGGATGCTGCGAATCAACCACATGCTTTACATAGCAGCCAGGTAGTGCCTGAATCTTTGTCCTACCCCAGTTCAGTGCCTGAGTCTCTGAGGGTATTTGTTGTGAAAACAGGAATTGGCTGTAATGCTCCAGTAAGCTCTAGGTGCGCTCCATAGGCTATAGCTGTCTTTAAATCAACCATAAAGCAATCCTCTCAAACAATGGTACAACAATTCTCTCAAACAACAGTACAACAATTCTTTTAACACTAACAATCCTGTCAAACAACAGTACACAACAGCAAAACAATCCTAACAACAGTACGACTCTCTCAAACAACAGTATACTACAGCATAACAATCCTTTCAAACAACAGTATAGCAATCCTTCCAAACAATGATACAACAATCCTCTCAAACAACGGTAATACAATCTTTTCAAACAACGCTAAAACAATCCTTTCAGACAATGGTAAAACAATAATCTCAAACAATAGTACAACTATCCTGTTAAACAACAGAAAAACAATGACCACATGTGGGCTGCCCATCTCACAGTCTCATTTTAGAAGATGTCTGATCCGTAATAGATGGAAGGTCAATAAAATAATGTTTCCCGCACTGTCCGATGTCCTTGAAAATGAGGAGCGTGCCGGTCATATTAAGCTCGGGAAATGTGTGGCTTGGTTTATGTCATGTTGGCCGTGAAGTTGCACTGCTTGAGAGGATCAACGGAGACTCGGGACTGATGGTTTTTTGTCCATTTGGCAGGGATCACGTGTTTGCGGTCAACCTCAGTACCTCGACGGAGCAGATTGTTCCCCAGCAGGTACCGTAATAGCTTCACGCTTGCTTTTTGTGAATGACTCCGCATACTACGAAAGCCGGCCAGCTGACCTTGAGATAACAGCACGGCGTAAGGGCTAGAGAGAAACGATGAATTTATAATGTTTCTTGCAACGTCAAAGAAAGCAGTTCCTACTACATTAAATCAACATTGACATGTGAAGAATGATGTCAGTTATTTCTCCATTAGAGCCATATTTATGATCACATTCAGGTAGGTACCCGAAGGTGAAATGCATTCACTTAAAGAAACATTTAAGGACCAGTTTTAAGGGCCCCGTGATGGCTTGGAGGGCCCCATCATCTTGTACAGGTTAAGTGATTGGAAGGTGGGGCAATGGATGGTTTGAAGGAAAGGAGAATGCTGATTGGATAGGTCTGAAATGCAATGCTCTGGACAAATTGCATTGACTAAATTATGCAGATGTCCAATTGTTTTGCAAGATACGGTCATGTGACGGGGGTGAAAGCCAAGGCTGAAGCACCTTCAGAGATCACCCAGTGCATTGTCTTCGATAGGCACTTAAAAGTGAGGGGTGCAGCCTGCTCCATTTCCCATAATTACTAGCTGTCAGCACATCCCACTCCCGTCAAAGAAACACAACGGGCCTCAGAGCTCCACGCTATAAGTTTCTGCAAAGATTGCAGGTTTCATTTCCTTGCCTGTGTTCTTCCCACTCCGGAGACCCCAAAGTCTCTAAACTGCCCCAGCAGCCTCTGGGGTCTGGAGAACATCAAAGCCTACAGCTAGACTGATGGATCCCCTCCTACTCCAGAGTCTCGCTCACCTAATATGAGCTTTAGTTTCTGAGAGCGGGATGACAGCTCTAACAGCACCCTAAACGCTCTTTCTTACCCTCCAGTTTACCAGTAGTTTTAAAGCGATTCTCCTGCGTTTTCTCTGTTCTCCCCAGTGCTATAAAACCTCACAGTATGTTTGGCTGGTTCAAGAGGTGGGAGCTGGAGCTATGCTTGGGCATTACCTACCTTTTCATACCATCATAGCGTTCAGACATTACACCACAGTATACAGTAAAAATTTTCCAAAATTTCAGAATACTGGAGTCATGTTGCATTTATGTTCTTATCCATCCATCCATCCATAGGTGGATTTGAGAAAGCACTTCTTTACACAGCATGTATTAAGAGTATGGAATAGTCTTCCTGTTAATGTAGTCCAAGCTAAAAGTTTGGGTTCTTTCAAATCAAAGGTAGATAAGATTTTAACAACTTTAAGCTATTAGCTTAAAATTCTCCCAAAATGAGCTTGATGGGCCGAATGGCCTCCTCTCGTTTGTAAATTTCTTATGTTCTTATGAAAATACTATCAAATTACTTTTGTTCCTGCCCAGCCCATCTAACCAACCTGATGCTACTTTGCATCTCACTTTACACATTACCTTCACCAAGCACATTACTGTATTTTATTTATGTATGTAATTTATTATATCAATTGTCATTGTCTCGATTGTCCTGTTTCGCACGTCATCTCAAAGCAACATTGGCGACAAATAAGCGATTCTGATTCTGATTATTAATACCGTCCAAGCATAGTTTTTAAGCACGGGGCGGTTTGGATAATCGTACACTGTTTCCGTCACAGAAGCTGACCTGGAAGACGAAGGATGTGGAGAAGTGCACAGTCAGGGGGAAAAACAGCGTGAGTAGCAGGATCTGCGTGGCACGGTGTGGCACCGCACTGCCAGCTGGGTGCCAAGCACACACAGGAAAGCCAGACGCAGGCAAAGGCTCCAGCCTGGCCAAGCGAATTAGCCGGTCGGCAGAGGGGGGGGCAGAGGCCGAGAGCAGGGTCATGCTCTTGAAGAAGGCCTACGTTGTGTTTTGCAGGACGAGTGCTACAACTACATCAAAGTTCTGGTGCCCAGAGACGACGAGACGCTGTTTGCCTGCGGCTCCAACGCTTTCAACCCCACCTGCCGCAATTACAAGGTGCGTCAACGTCCATTTTGCATTTATTCAAAGAATCAGTACGAATGCCACCCCCCAACATTCCTGCTTTGTCTAACCTTCATGTCATGTGACTCTGCATCCACGATCGGAAGGTCGCCAATTCAAATCCCGGGGTCGACGTACCGATGCCGCCATTGGCCCCTCAAACCAGGCCCTTAATCTCCAGTGGTTCCGGGGGGTGTTGTATAGGCTGGCTGACACTGTGCTTTGACCCTCCCCCCCAAGCTCGCTTTCAAAAACATAGTTTCCCCATGAGGATCAATAAAGTGTCGCTATTCTATTCTAGGAAAGTTTATAATGTCTAATAGTCTTCACTGTCACTTATGTTAGGCACAGGCGTAGCGCGGGGTGTGGCGTCTGGCCAGCCGCACCTTTCTGCTACATATTGGCTGGGTATGAGAATAACGGTATGATTTACAGACTGCTTCTAGAAGAGAAGAAGTGTGGGCAAGTCCATAAATTCATGGAAAAAGAAAAAATATATATCTAGTGCAAAGTCAACTAGCGGTCAGTGCAGCTGGCTACTCAGAGTGCGGACCTCTCCAAAGCCCCTCCGTAAATCACCCCCGCCCCCCCCCCAATCCGAGCCAAAAGCCAGGTATCGTAATCCATGCCGCATTCTCCGCACTCCCCCGTCGCTCGTCGTGGATCGGCCGACCTGACTAACACCTCGAGCACCGGGCGGGACGCACACGTCGTGTCACTTCGGCTTTCCAGTGTCCCTTCACAAAAAAGGCGGGTTTGGGGGGCGGGGGGGGGTGGCACGATTTATACTCCACCAAGCGTGTTTTTCACAAAAAATTATAGCTGACTTCTGGATGTGGGCCAGCGGGGGGGACAGAGGGGCAGGCAGGCAGATCGGGCCACGGGCTTTGTGGGCCAGCGGGGGGGACAGAGGGGCAGGAAGGCAGATCGGGCCACGGGCTTTGTGGGCCAGCGGGGGGGTAGTACACC